GACGATGACTGTAACTGTGACGGCTATACCACTAGTATCTACACCATATCTATAGGCTGCATTGGTGATCATGGCTTGTCTGCTTACTATACTGAACTGTGCTCATCAACACTTGCTGTTACATTCAATGGTGGCTCACACAGAGAGCGAGAGGAGAACAAGATGGTGAGTTGATCTCACAAAAAAATTCACATGTTCCTACAGTTACTACTGTTCATCATTGCTAGATGCTGATAGAGACATAACTTGTGAAAATTTACTGCTATTCTTAATATTCTGCAAACCCAACTCAGACATTTCAACACCATTGTGATTTTTTTTTTTTTTTTTTGACTATTTATATCGATGTTGGCAGTTTTCTTTTTCTACACAGTTTTATTTTTTCACGCATCAAAACAATTCTTGGACGGTCACGTAATCTCTCTCAGTGGAAAAGGACAATATTTGTAAACAGTTTACAACAAGATCCATCCATCCCAAATAGATTTTACCATTGATTTCATTAGAGGAATATTTAAATTCCCTGTGGTTATGGAATACACAGGCAGCCCAACAAAAGCTTTATAACCACTTTTATTTTCATGTCATACCTTTTCAAATGGTTGTAGGTAACCACTGATCTTCATCATAAGTGCACCGAGGAGTTCAAAGGGACATCATCTGCAGCACCCTTAGCTGCTGGCATGTTTGCTCTGGTCTTGGAAGCAAAGTAAGCAATTTGATTRAATATAAAACTATAGCCAAATGTTTTTTTTGTGTGCTTTAAATACAAGTATAAATAGATTGAACCCCTTATCTTGGGTCTAATGTTTTCCCATTCCAGACCACTTCCCATTCTCTTGAGAATAGGATTCTTCATTTGATTTGTATCCATACTCATTTGACTTCTCATGCACAACCGTTGAACAAAGAAATCATACTCTAGAGAATGGCATGTGGACTGAAATGGGAAAAACCTTATTATGTATTGAAGTAGAGAAAGCCAATACTCCACTTTACAGTTTCCTTTCAGTGACAACGAATAATAGTTCCAAGCATAGTTTAGCTAYGTTTCAAGTCAAGGTTGGTGTTTCCTTGCAGAGCTAAACTATAGTTTGTCATGGGTGGCAACTCCAACCTCAACTTGGAACTATTATTCGGAACGGAAATGTAATATGGAGTATTAAGCAATCATAAAYATCTATTCCTTATTTTTTGGTAGGGAAGAAGGGTATTAACAATTGAAAAACAAATATTTGCCTTTTATATTTCAAGTCATTCTAGAACCCCAATGTTTTTATACAGTATTCAATGTTAAATGCCATTGGCTTTCCCCCCATCACAATAAAAGATGTAGGATTTCAGTTTAAAATATAAAGAAAATAAGCTCAACACAAGCATGAAATATTGAAATATTTCCCATGTATTTCAGTCCTAACCTGTCATGGCGTGACGTGCAACATATCGTGGTAGAAACAGCTCAAGTCACGAGCCCAGTCGATGAAGGTTGGATGAAAAACGGTGCTGGATACCACTTCAACCACAAGTTTGGTTTTGGAAGGCGAGTAGTCCAACCAAAACCCCAGCTTCTTTAAACTTTCTGCTCGCTATTTTAGCTGCTTGTGTCCAGGTCACGTGGAATGGCGTGACCTGTTGCGTGACGTTTGTTTCTAACGACAAGTGAAAAACGCATTGCGCATGCTCGGAAGTTCGGCGGGAAAKTCGTAGACGCGTCGTACAAAAGACCACAGTTTCGTAAATCTTTAAAGTTAAGGCCGTTCGTGAAAAGTTATTGCTTATTTTTTCCTAAACACATCAATTAGGTTTTTTATTTCCCTGGCCAAATAATACGAGAGAAATTGACATAATACAAACGCCGGTAAATCTCCAATGGTCTTAATATTCGTAAACTGACGAGAAATTCCCGCCGAAATTCCAAGCATGCGCAGTGCGCTTTCCATCTGTTTCTCTAACMACACGTTACGTGTGAAGCGTAATTAATAGAATTTCAAATTCCAATRTCGATTTCTTTACAGATTGGATGCAGATGCTATGGTCAAGAAAGCAAAAATCTGGAAAAACGTTCCTCTACAACGAATTTGCCACGGACCATCCAGCAGCACTCAACAGTAAGTTACTTGGCAACCTATTTTAAAGTTGTTGCTTAGTAACACTAACGYGTACCGCTACCTTAATCTTGCAGGGAAATCCCAACAGGTGGGACTCTGTCAATCACAATCGACACGATCGCATGCAGCGGAACCGATAARATGATCTCCAAAATCGAACACGTGACACTTACTGTTAGTTTCCAGCATCGTCGTCGTGGTGACGTCAGCATCGACCTGTTCTCTCCGAGTGGGACTAGAAACGAGATGCTCTCGACCCGTCGCTATGACGAATCTAAGAATGGTTTGCACGACTGGACGTTCATGACCGTGCATAACTGGGGCGAGAATCCCAAGGGGGAGTGGGTGATGAATGTRACGGACAACCTTCCSATGTTGAATAAAGGGGTTGATCCTAATGGTTATGTYCAACATGACACCAGCAAACAGGAAGCGGATGTGGAAGACCTGGAGGARGAGGTACTATTCATTTGACGTCATTTCCGTACGAGTACTCGGCAATTCCCGAGTTTTCATTGTCCATGTTGTCGTTTGAAATATCTGTTCCTAATAATATAATGGCCCGATTTTTTTTTTCTCAGGTCATCGATGACGAAAAAAAGACTCAGGAACTTTTTTTTTTCTCAGGTCATCGATGACGAAAAAAAGACTCAGGAACTTGAGGCCCAGAAAAATGGTGCAAAGAAGAAGAAACCATTCGACGCACCCTACCCTGAAGGGGTGAAGAAGGACAAGGTGCCTACCGTGACAAAGAGGTGGTTTACTGACAGAAATAGTAATGGAACTGTTGATCAAACGGATCTTATGATGGGTAAGTACAACTGATAGACCCAAAAGGGAGAGGTGGTATATTTTTTTCCGATTGATAGGAATTGGGGAGGAACAGTTTCCCTGCTAGCAGAGTCTTCCTTGTTTGCGATTCTTTGCCAAGAATTGCTAACGAGGGTGTGCGAGATCATGACGTAACAGACAAGGAGCTTATTTTGCATATTCACACGTGTAAATCGGGAGAGAGAGGTCGAAAGAGAGAGACAGCGCGAAGAATATTAAGTCGAGAGATACCAGAGGGAGACTTTGATAGTGGGGAAAGATACCGTATTGTTCTAGCAGAATATATAAGTGTCCTAGTGAACGGCAAAAGTGCATTAATGACTMGTGGATGTATGAAAAGATCCCTACATAGTGTTCCGATGAGACGACTATGACGTCACATTGCTTTCCAATATGTGACGTCATAACCGTCGCTGGTTAAATGACTAAAGAAAATGTTTGTCCTGGGCTCTTTTGGCGTGCTTTTTGTTTCTTTAATCTCATGAGAAGGAATGCAAGCCATTTTTTTTTTCATTTGCAAACTTCTGTTTAACTTTATTGATTTAATTTAGCGTATCAAGGAGCTTACTACGTGCCACAGTACCAACAAGAAATGCTTGACCCCTCATTAACAGACGCCATGACACAAGGTTTAATGGGAGGCAATCCGTACGCTGCGTACTATCCTTACGACTCCGTCGATACTATCGAAAGCAACGAACGAAAACAAGCAACCGAGAACGGTGTCGATAGAAATGTAATTAACGGTAACAATGACAATAGCGATGACAGTAATCAAGTATATGGATACGACCGCTATTCGTATAACGAGAACGAGCCGARCACTCTCAAGACTAGTTCGTTGTCGTTCGGAAAGAAAAAAGCTGACCCGAAATTTGAACGACAGAAGGTCCAAATTACTGCCGAGGAGACTGGTTCACAACGTGTACAAGTAAACAACGGATTCCAGGAAGAATTTGTCCCGGGACTTAACCCGGAAAGCGGACGAGTTAGTTCTGGAGTTTTACTAGAATGGAGGTTGACATTTTATGGGACGGGACCTGAAGGTTCGGAAAAATCAGAGGATAGCGAAGACGGGGATGAGGACGACGCTAGCGCTGTTCTCGACTTATGAKCACCAGTTTTCCAAACATATCATCACTCTCAAAATACGACTCCAGTGTTTCACTCCTAGAGTACTACGGAGGTCCCAAACAACATACCACGTCTTTTCTATATACATCAAATGACAAGCACAAACCTTATGGGATATCAAATGTGATTCTACCCCACTGCGCAGGCGCCAGTTTAAATTTGAAGTCCACTTGTGATCTCACAGAAGTTAAAGCTAAAAACCTCTCGAAGTACTCGGTGTTTCCATGACAACATTATGACGTCATATATAACGTCATAATTYCTTTCACTAACGCCCATATATAGTCTTTAAAAGTCTGGCAGCCATCTTTCTGTCCCTTAAGCCCGCGGTCCTTTTGATCTCCGCCACGAGATGATAGTTCCCGTCTTTCTTTTTGTTTCTTTCATAAAACGATAAAAATGCTCAAAAYAATAAAAACCGCTAAAAACAATTTCCACTTCTGGTACAGATAGACCATGCAACATTTCTTGGCGCAGACCAAGAGCAACGYAGGCTCGGCCAGCTCGTGGTGACGTGTTATCGTGCTAAGGCCTGGTTACTTTCAAAGATGGCTGCTGTCACTAAGAGAATCATATTCATGGAACAAAAATTTCAAAAAAAATATGTTCCCTTCTAAAAAACAATTTGCTTCTCAAAATGCTGAAAATGGACAGCAAACAAAGAGAGCATGCGCAGCTCTTGATAAATTTTCATTTATTTTTGTAAAAAGAACCGACTAATCGCGCACTTATTTCGACAAGTGATTTTGATATAATGAAATGATGACATGATTAACGCTAATAAATGATGAAAGTATTTGAATATTTATTAGTTTATTTTTTGATATATGCGTTGTAATTAATACCATGATATATTAAATAACGAGTCCCATTCATTTTTGTGCAGAACAGATCGAACAGATCCGATATCGTACCCAGAGCCTGTGTTTTATCTGGCCAGCGACGAAGAACGAAGGCTCTGGCATAATCCATTTTGGCGCATTCGCAATCTTAGGAAAGTGATCGAAATATAACCAATGAAAGAAATCAAAGTAAAAATTAAATCAAAGTAAAAATCAAAGTAAAAAATAGAAATAAAAAAAGTAAAAATTGGAAATCGGTAACATATTTTTTTATCTTGGCAAGTCTTTGGGCTCTTATACCGGAAGTCCAAGAAATCCTGGTCTCAAAAAGTGRATTATGCCAGAGCCCTCGTTCTGCGCCGYAGGCCAGAAGAAACGCAGGCTCTAGGTACGAGATTGGAACAGATCCAATYATTGGCCTTCTCGAGTAAACTAAGACCTTTATAAAACGAAAAAGGCGAATAGCGTCCCTAAACCAGCCTCATGATTCCACGCGCGTCATACTCGTTACCAGTTTTCCTCGCAAACTCGGCAAGGTACTCTTTGATATTTGCTGGTATAAGACCGGGRGAGTATTCCAGGAGTTACGTCAAGACCCCCACCCCTCTCCCGCCCCCTCTTCATTGACTTTCACTTTCAAAGCCATTAAAACCAAAGCCAAAACTGATGAGAACTTTGAGACTGCATTGTTTCCCACCATCATCACGTTACCATAAAAGCTCATGGGTAGTTTCTGATTCGTGTTGTAATACAGCGTATATACATACAGTGTTTTGTRATAGAAAGATTTGTATGAGAAATTAACAGACCAAGATATGACTAGCCGCTATTTCATTTATTTTTTGTCAATTTTTAAATGCTTGTAAGCTTTTATCCTTTCTCTTATTACTATGAAATTGTGCACATTACTAATTCAGTCATTATCTGTAGCTTGTGCAAAGATAATTATCCAATTGATAAATATAATTGATGAAGCAAATTAGGGACACGTTTTTGCAAAATATCTGTGACAGCCAYTTGAATTCAAAAGAACTGAGGAAACATGTTTTCAACGTATCGTGGCGGTGAAACAAATTAGAGACCTTTAGCATCATGTTTACCTCTAGGGATCAAGCCCAAAAACACGCTCGCAAGCACGCGGATAAACACTCATTATCAATGAAATTCAATATGGCTGCTCTTCCTGCAGCAACTTCGTTATGACGCCTTTCTACATGTCGAAAGTTTGGCGGAAAACGCCTGACGTCGAACTGCAGTTTGAGGTTTGCGGAATTACGTCGTGCTTAAGGTTCCTATTGTCATCAAGAATCGCTTTCAGTTCCTTATACCTTTTTTTCCTGTTTCTCTCTTGGTGTCATATCTTTTTACTTTCAAAAGAGGAATTTTCTCAAAAAAGTCTCAATTATCCTCATGCATACATTTAGTTACCCCTGAATTGATCAATTAACCTGGTTAAACGCTTCATTTTTCCCTTGACACCATCCACTTTCAAAAATATCACGCTCTACGCTTCACGCACCAAAACAGTTTGTAACGAGTACTTCACAAATTGTCGCACGCTAGCTCGCACCCGTCTATAAAGAATTGTGGAATCAGAGAATAAGAAAACTACTCATTGAAAAACACAAACAAACAATGATTAGAATAATAAACACTTAATTTAAGAATCATATATAAAAAAGCGAAAGATTTTTATGTTTCTTCGGCCCAACCTTCCAGACGCGCCGAATTCTCTTTTCTTGGCTTCCATTATTGCGTTCAGCCCGACTTTATCAGCTCTAGTTAACCAGAGCGCGTTCTAATTTCCCTCCAATCAAATTTACCATCTTTTGATTTAGTATTTCTTTCACTTCTAAAACCATAAGAACAGACGCCTAATATGTAGACCCCTTGCACTGAGTCCAAAGAGGATTTGTTCTGGGGGACAAAGCAATAGAATTTTTTGCATAAGAAAAGACGGGGGACTCCTCAGTGCAAGGAGTCTATAGAGGTAGCAGAAAAACGCTTTAACTAAGTTAATTAAAGAATCACTTTTTCACGTACCCTATCGAGAGGTTGGTCAGGCCGTCACGGAACGGTGTTTCCATCTATCCAACCTGATTATCGCATCATTGATGCGTACAATAACATCCTTCTCCGAATGCTTAAAAAGTGTCATTTTTTGTTTGTTAATAATTTTCTCCAAACCGCTAGGATTTTCACAGGTATAACTTAAAAACAAATATTTGCAAAAGTATATGAAGTGTTTTAGGTATTTTTCGAATCGTGTATTTTAGGTGATAATTTAGTTTCCTTCGATGGTGATTTAATTTTTAACTTTAAGTAGCTATTTCACATTTCTTCCACTTGAAAGATCTCGTAGTTTTACCGCCCTCTTTCACCTCCCTTAAATTCAAAAATATTTCATATATATATATACATTATCCCGGAAATTTWAAAAAATTACTTATTGTATAAAGCTAGCATTGATTAACAGGGCAATTTTTTTGCACAAAAATCTTACCAAATTATTTGAAAAATTTGAATAAATCACTTTTATAGGAGCTAGAATGGAAAGCCATTCAAGTGCAGCATGAAATCGAGGCCTCGATCCCACCGTATCGTGTAAGAATAGAATATGACTTCTTAAGTACCAAACTTAAYTATGCTGCAGTAACAGCGATTAAGGAGTATCCGTCAGTCCCATGTGTTAGGTTTAGAAATGCGTGCGGCCATAGCCCAAGTTGTCTCTCTCATATTTCTGAGTCTCGCTGGGGCGAATGAAGAAAGCGATCAGATTCATTACACAAATTCTTGGGCCGTTCATGTGGATGAAGATGATCTGGATAGCGTCAACGAGCTGGCGAACAAATATGGGTTCACGAACCTCGGGCAGGTAAGGACGTTCGAGTCAGTGAATAAAACCGTAGCATTGAATTAAACGATTTCAAACTCAACCCAAAATATAGATAAGATTTTGACCCAACATTTAGTAAAACTCATAGAAAATTTTAAAGTTCTTTMTGATTATAATCCGGCTATTTTAGTTTTCATTATTTGGGATTTTTGACAATTTATTTACAAAAAGCACCGGTTTGTTTATACGTTTTTTTACATGTCGGGTCATTGGTCAGATTCGCGGTGTCGTGAGCGGTCTTCACAGAACAAGAACTCACTGTTTTTATTTTTTGGTTCGCTTCTGTTGTTATTCAATCGTTTCCTTCTATTTTCAAAGTTGTGTGTGAAACGAGCTGGGAGTTTTAAAAATCTTCTATAAACAACGGGAATTTATACCAAGAGACAATTACGTTTTCTTGTTAATTTGTATATCATATAAACACCAAATGATAGCACAAACCCATTAAGCGACTGTTTGGAGTAAAACCTTGACATTTTATCGAACCCTGAAACAACCTCTGGTCKATGGAACGGGCATGGGAAACTCACAGAACCCTGTCAAACGACTTCTGGGCTGATCTAAGTCTGGGCACGGCTAACCCACGAACCCTAAAACACTAGAACCACTGGGCTGATCTAAGTCAGGGCATGACTAACTCACAGATCAAACCCTGAAACAAGTAGTTTACGTTTCTCTCGTTCGTTCATGCATTCATCCCTTTTAATCACTATTTTTCTTTTCTCTTTTTCACTCTTGACACAAGAGCCCTGTTATTCTTACTGCGCATGCTCGTCGAATTGCCAGACCTTGGTAGGGAACGGAACCGAGCTCAGTGTACGTGAATGAGGCTCTGGGGTCGAGAGTGTTCCCCTCCTTTGTATAATACCCAATTTCTTTGCTTTCCAGTCTGTGGCGGATATAGGGGGGTTCATTGGGTGCAAATAAACCCCCCCCCCCCCCACACCGGCTGCTACCTTTGATTTTTTATCTTTTTTGAAATAAATAAATAAAAGTATGGTACTAACTCATGAGATTTGTATATGTAATAGGACTCCATGCTGTCCAATTAAGAAATAAATTTGCAAAAATGAACCCCCCCTCCCTCTTAAAGTCCTTTGAAATTAATGTTATCTAATACTTTAACAATGAAATTTTCAGATTGGTAGTCTACCAGGGTATTTTCACTTCGTAAAAGACTCGATCAAAGGAAGGAATAAACGAAGTTTCGATGATGATCACACTGAACTCTTGCTCGCCGAACCAACGGTAATTGATCCAGCCCTGGATCAGCCACGGGCGGCCCGCGCACTCGTTTTTGTCAATCATGTATATGTATATTTCAATTTTAAACAAATCTTTAAAGACCCATTGCCACTTACCGTGATGCACCGYGGTYACAGATGAATTTCGTGGTCCATGAAATTCAAAGATTCATATATTGAATAATAACGTCACATTAAGTTTATTCAAAAGGTTGGAATTGTTTTTTCAGTGGTGACACGATTCAAAATGTAAACAAATTGTGATGCATCACGGTAAGTGGCAATGGGTTCTTTAATAAAGATCAACAGTCCTTTTTTAAGTAGCTCAATATTTGCCATGCCTATGGGTAAATATGATTTTTTCTGCTTACAGTATTACTCTTCCAAAAACAAAGCTTGGGTTGCCTGTGGAAATGTTGTAACGTTGCTTGCGTGACTGTCACGCAGCATCATATTTTTAGAAACTTTCGTTCTCTTCTCGTTCGTTCTCTCCCTCTATAAACACGTGACCCCGGAAATAAATCCTTCGTTTCCGCGTGTTTCGAAATCATAGGAAACAATAGCAATAAAACACAAGATTTGTTTCGGGATAWATCGTACCAAATCAAAAACTGGAACTAAATTTGAAAACCAAAATGTCGTTTGATATAAAAACTAACTATTTGGTAAKTGAAAGTCGCGATTTCTCGATTTATTTCTGGTAAAATATACTATATGTCACACCATACTTAGCGACGGTTTTTAACTCCAAATATAGACATGGATAATGTCTAGAGGATTGGATGCTGTTTGCTCATTAACATGTAAATTAAGCATACTTACGAAGAAAGACCATATTTGGTCAAAATATCGAGAAACATGCCCTCTGCTCTGTCCGTATATTATCAGTACGTGTAACAATGGTAAGCCGGTTGTTTTAGAGTTTATTTGTGCAGTATGTTAGATTTTTGATTCTCTAGACTGAGCATAATAGGATTCATAAGGATACGGTGTAGCGCACAAAATAAATGTGCTTCGCAGACTTACGTCGTTGTTTTGGCTCCGGTTATAATATTTAGAATGTGACGCTTCYTAGGAAATTTCTAGACCAAGAGATGAGATCACGACCTATCCCTTATTTGAGTAATAAAAGAAAATCTTATTAGRATGTAAAATATTCATAGCTTTTATTTCCTTTTTAACCCAACGACATCAAAGCGGCCCAGGCTTTGTARACACTTATTCACACCATAGTTTGTTATTAACTATGTTCACACCGAAGCTATTTTCTGTCGAACCCAAGCGTTCTTTCTCTCAGATTCTGCTCGCAGGAAACAAGACTCAAAATTGAAAAACCTTCTATAGTAACATCCAATTTATTCTAAAAAAAGCATAATACATCCATTCTAGTAGTACAATTTAATTACTCCTGATAAACGAATCTTTCAAAAAATTTCATCAGTAGTTTCCGCACGCTTGGACAAGACTTGATCTGCTCCAGGCAACAAATTGCAGTAGTCTTCATGATCAAAAGTTCATTCTAAGTTCAGTTTGTAGAATAATAAAAATCAACCTTGGAATAAAGTTATGATTTCTGTCCTGATAGTAAACGGAGAAATTGGTAAACTCTAATTAGGCAGCGAGTTTGACCTCTAACAATTCTAATCAAAAGTATGGCTAGCGATTATGCAAATATTTGGAAGCAAAATGATTCTGAATTTTTTAAATGATTTTATTTAACCAAAAACAAACTTATTTAGCGCCGTAAAACACCCGAAAAGCAAATCTGAACACCAAGGCTGTCCTGAGAATTAATTTGAATAAGGGTTTGTGCAAAGTATCTAAAGTTCTTTGAATTTGAATGTCCACTACYAATAAAGACCTAAACTCCAGAAGTATCCAAAAATATCGTGACAGTATTGTAACTCCGATCCTGTAAAGTTACTGATTATTCTGGCGCAGTACAGACCAAATTACTTGAATTTTGTCCTCATTTCTTGGGTAATTTCATCAAGATCTATGTCAGAGTGATCTCCAAAGTGAAATTTTGCATGAATGGCTCCCGATCCAAGTTTATCTAGAAGAGCTTTCTTGCTTGAACTGTACACCATCTTCTCCTTTCCATCTGCATGATTATCAGGACTATGGCTAATGAAGATCACTTTTTCTCTTTGTTGCTGTTCCTTGGTAAAGAACTTCAAATCAAATACGGCATATCTGCACTTGTCTTTTGGGAGATCGTTTTTTAAATCGTCAAAGGTTTTATCTGGCTCTCCAGTCTTGTCGACCACGATATTAGTCTGATCTTCGTTGAGCTTGAARGTGATATAGCGGTAAACATGCTTGGTTGATAGCTTTTGAAAAATGTCTAGTACCTCGGGAACGCACTTTACTCCTGAAGTTGCCATATTGAGACTTGAATAAATGCCCAGAGAAGCGATTAACAGCTGTATGACTTCGATAGAGAAAGAGAGAGAGAGAGAGTGAGGTAATATAATGAAGTCAGCAGCCCCGTGACTCAACTCGTCCACGCCCACCGTCGAACGCTCATCAATAACGCATCGTAGCGTGGCAACGATTGAAAAACACAAAAGCAACTCTTTTCAAGTATGAATATATCTAATTCTTATGACATGGAGAACTTTATTGAGTGATTTTTCCCTTCATTTTCTTCAAAAATCTTTGAAAAATCTCAGTGTTTTCAGTGTTTTGATGGTCACCTGTGATTCTAGTGAATATCATGTGACAGTTGAGGTCATTTGATTGGTTGTTTCGTTCTCAGCTTTGTCTTATGTA